CCGCGCAGAAAACAGGATGAATCCAGCATTTCAATATACATGGCTATGGCATAAATCAAGGCTACAGCCAAAGGCCATGAAGCCAAGGATATTTCATATCTAGTGCTGGCGATCAAAAGAAATTTGTGTCTGTTTTGTGTTTGGTTTGTTGAACACTTGGTCTTCTGCAACATTTGGCTCAAGGCCCTTCTATTTACATCGTACAGTCATTCGACGCATGGTGCATTGATAAAAGGCTTGCAGACCGCTTTACAGGTATAACAGTCAACACAAGCCACCAGGCACAATCCATCCTCCAATCCTCCATATTGGCATATTGGACTCTCTCCGGAATAGATCCAGGCAGTTCTGGGACAGGCACCCCGGCAGTGGGCCTCACCCCCCCCCCCCTAGCCCCCGCTGCTTTTCATTTGTTTGCAGAATTAGCTCACCCTTACACACACATACATACACACACACACACACATGCATGCATGCACATGCATGCATGCATACAGACATACATACATACATACATACATACACGCACACACAGACATACATACATACAGACAGACAGACAGACAGACAGACAGACAGACAGATAGACATACAGACATACAGACATACAGACATACAGACGTACGTACGTACGTACGTACGTATATGCATTACATTACAAAGACTACATAGATCACACACTTACACACATAAACAGAAATGTATATATATATAGAAATATTTTTACATAGCCCTTGCCGGAGAGGAACTGGTGCTGCTACCAAAGCCAAACATGTTACCAAAGGCAGTAAATGTTGAATGTTCGCTTGTTCGAGTATCTTGGGGGGGCAGCAGCCCCCCCAACCCCACCGCTGTTTTTTGGTCTTTTTCCTTTTTGTTTTTTCAGCGATTAACACGCCCTTTGTTGAATCGGCCGTCAAAGAGATAAATGCACCTTTGGCTGAACCTGCAATCTATGTATGCTGGTATGTCTGTATGTACGCACTTCTTCGAACATGATGGGGGTCTGCCGCCCCCACCCAACTCCCCCGCTGCTTTTTTAGAATGCACACATACATACATACCTGCCCACACACACAAAAATGCTTGCCGGAAACAAGAACTGATGATGCTGAGGATATGGGAAGCCAAGGCAATATAAAGCCACAAAGGCTGCAAAAACCAAAAAAACGCCAACCTGCCCCACTACCCACGACCTGCTGGTGATGCCGGGGATGCTGACGGGCTAGTGTAAAACACATACATTTCGTGAGCAACTGCGTTAAATACGACATCTTACAGGCCAAGACGAAAAAACAACGAAGACATCCCAAAATAAACCCGCACCCGTAGAGAGGTGTGGGAGACTTACTATTTACATTTCTTGACTCATTGTTCCGGACTCCAGCGAACCACACATGAGCGGATCAGGCCTGCGCACGCTTTGACTTTTTTGAACACCTGGGCGGTGTCCTGCGAGCGTTGGGGCTGAAAGCAGCCCGGCATCGCTTTGACGCCATGGGCTGGAATCAGACTTGGCCATGGCCTGATGGACGCCGGGGTTCCCCTACATTGCGGCGGCTCCTGTCAGACACCACAACCTTTGCTTCGAGGGGCACCTTTGGCGGGAGGCCTCTTTGCTAGTCAGACGTTTGAGCACGTCTGATTGTTTGTTGAAAGTAGGCGTGGCCGCCATGGTGAAGCAGCGGAGTGTGAAGTAGCTGCTTGTGTTGGAGAGTCGTGGGAAAAATAAGGGAGATGCATGAGGCCACAGGGCAACATCGAGGCAAGATGTGCCCAAAGAGAGAGGTGGCCAGGTGTTTCTTGCAACCGGAAGTCTCCACCTAACAAGGAGACTTCGAAAAGAGGTTACGTGGCGCGGTTCCCAGGAAGCATTCGAGCTCGGGTTTCCTGCAGCCGGAAGTCTCCACCTAAGAACAGCGCATTGTTTTTTCGACGCGCGGGCTTTCCAATTGCCAAGCGTGCCTCTGCGGCTTGCTTTGTGTGAGGGCTGCAATCAGAGCGGGCTGAAGAGTTTCTTGATTGCATTGCCTGATCCAACGGTATAGTTAAGTTTCTTGGGCCTTTCGGGCCTGAATTTCGGAAGTCTATTTCACTGTAGGTGAACGCCACGCAGCTTAGCGCGTTGGCTTGACAAAGCAGTTGACGCGCAAACGCTGAGGACCTTTTGGCTTTTGGTAGATGTACGTGGAGCAGGCTTGTGTCTGAAGCACGACAAGAAGTTGCGCAGGCAGACAAACACATTTGCCAGTTGGTCGGGCAGGAGCGACAGATTCCAGAGCAGAGTGAAGCAAAGTGCCAGCGTTACTTGCTCAAGTTCAAGTTGTTGTTTTTGTTCTAGCATCGTTGTTGTTGTTGTTGTTGTTGTTGTTGTTGTTGTTGCTGCTGCTGCTGCTGCTGCTGTTGTTGTTGTTGTTGTTGTTGTTGTTGTTGTTGTTGTTGTTGTTGTTGTTGTTGTTGTTGTTGTTGTTGTTGTTGTTGTTGTTGTTGTTGTTGTTGTTGTTGTTGTTGTTGTTGTTGTTGTTGTTGTTGTTGTTGTTGTTGTTGTTGTTGTTGTTGTTGTTGTTGTTGTTGTTGTTGTTGTTGTTGTTTGTTGTTGTTGTTGTTGTTGTTGTTGTTGTTGTTGTTGTTGTTGTTGTTGTTGTTGTTGTTGTTGTTGTTGTTGTTGTTGTTGTTGTTGTTGTTGTTGTTGTTGTTGTTGTTGTTGTTGTTGTTTACTCTTCCTGACAGCCACCATCAACAAGTGGTTCTTGTTCGGTGTGTTGACCCTCCCGGAAGTCGACAACTGCGAAACCAACATGCCACTGGTCAAGAATGCAAGCATTTGCTCTGCAGGGAGTAAATTACAAGTGCGGTTGAGCCAGGGTAGCGAGGTAGATGCCAACGAGCGCGATGTCTTCCAAGGGGAGTGCCGGCCTCTCGTGCTTCTTGCCATGTGGTGACACACACCAATCTTGACTTGCGCTTCTTAGGTGCGGGCCAAGCCCAGGCCCCCTTAGTTTGTGCAGCGTGCGCCACATACTCACATTCTGGAGCGCGGAGGAAGCGCGAGGAGGCGAACCTTGGGCACCCCAGCAATTTTGATCGGTCTTTGTTCATGCGCAGTTTGTCCTTGAACGATTCAATTCGAGTGTGTTGCGTCTAGAATTGCTTGGACTTTCAATATCACCAACGGGTAGTGTTTTTGAAGTCATGGTTAATCTGGCATTGGTCTTAGCGCTGTCGTTACATAACGCAACATTACAAGACTTACGCATCGAATTGATTGACACTTGGTGTTGCTGTTCTAAATCCTCAAAGGTTTCAATATTTGTCACAGGTTACTTTCGCTTTACGTATCACCCATTACCGCACTAATAATCTATGTAGATAGATTGTCTGTCGCAGCAAGGTTAGGACATCGCTACCATAATAGCACTGCTGACCAAATTCTGCATCTGTTTTGGCTGTGGTATGGACTGTTTTTGTCATGACTTGCGCGTTCTTTTTCACTGCCTGCTTTCTTTCTCATAATCTTGGCTATGTCACCTACACCTAAATCAACCCGCGTAGCAGACCCAAAAAGACACGCGGCTCGCTGCGATTAGCGATCGTCTAGGCTGCGGGTTCACAGAAGGGGCTTGGGTTCGCTGAAGGTCCACGGATGGAAGACGAGCTTCGGCTTCGCAGAAGCCTTGCGCAAGTGTCGAGGGGTTCGCAGAAGCTGGAATAGGCAGTGTGCTTTCATGCCGTTGCGTGCTCCTTGCCATCCTTGCTGTTTCATCCACCTGTTCGATTCCCAGCTCTCGCCCTAGCAGGTGAGTGCCTTGCTAGCGCAGCTGCTACAGGGCAGCTCTTTCACAGACTTGTGCGAGCGCCTGCTTGGCTTGGCGGCTGCGGTCAACGAGAAGATGGTGGCGAAAATTGAGCCCATGGTCCAAGAAGATCAACGACAATCGGAAGAACGACAAGTGGCAGCGCAGGCCGTGCGGAATGCTTGTGCTGCGGTACAGCGCCGCGGGACGCAGGCTTGCAATGCTTGCCTGCAGGCACCATGCAGGCTGCTGTGGTGCCACCAAGGCGATTCATGTTGCTGCGCCCTGGTTTCTTTTGCGCAGAGATTGGAAAGTCAGTTAAGGCAAGCGAAAGCTGCCACAGTGGCTTTGTGAGTGAGTTTCGCAGCCTGGCCAAGCGGAGGTCGAGCCCAAGTTAGACAAGCTCAAAAAAGACTTAGACAGGCTGGGAAGAGAAACGGGTCCTCGCTGACCGCTTTTGTGTGGCAACTCGAGCTGGCTTCAGAGGCGCGCTGCAATTTTTTCAAGAAGGGGCTTGAGGCACATATGCGGCTTTTCGCAGGCAGCGCTTGGAGCAAACTTTTCCGTATTTTCGATGTCTGCTTTAAACAAAGTTGTTTGCGAATAACCGCCCTTTTTAAACAAACATACGAAGAAGCCAGCGAAACCTGGACTTGTAAAGTTTTCTCATCCCATATTACACCGACGCCCGTCAGCCTAATGAACTCTTGCGATGTCTTAGTTCTTTCGCTTCCTAACCGGGCAGGCTTTTTTGTCAACAACTACCAATGATTCAGCAGTTTGAGATTTCCCCCAGCTCCTTAAGAAGATACGTACCAGGCGCAGATGCTTCCAGCTGAAGTTGTAAAGCACACTCCAACTGTTTGCCTCTTTTGTGGTGAGCGCGCGTTCATCCAATTCTTGATTCCGGTTTTGAGACGACTGAGATGCTTTTCGTAAGGGTTAGTGTTACCTTGGAAGAAGTTTCCCGGTCCATGAAGTGAGTTTTCCTCAGACACTCGTAGCATCAAGGCAGTCTAGCATGTCAATACGGGCTCCCTTTTCTTCAGCTGCAAAACACAACCCCCGGCCCTAAGGAACTCACTAAACGGTTGGCCACAACTCAAAAGGTGATGTTTCGTCAAACCAAAAGTCGGCCATGAAGCTGGAACTCAAGAGGGGGTGTCGCTGATTTGGCGCATTCAACCGGCCGAGTCGAAATCTGAGGTGCCGGGGCTGGTGACCTTTCTTCTGCTGCTCTCTCCGGAGCTCTGCCCGGAGAGCCTGGCGCAGCGCTCCGAAGGCATGGGATGTTGAGTTTTTTGAGACTGGGGGGAGGGGATAGAAACGGATAGACCAACAAGAATATGAACCGATATGGGTGATTTTTCTTTTTTGGGAGGCGAAGGGCGCCCCGTTTTTTTGGTTTGGTTCAAAAGGAAGCCAAAAGGAAACTCTTGCGATTTTGTGGGTTCCGGTTCTTTTTCGGGTCAATCCCACATTTGAGCATGTTTCAAAAGGTGGAGCTAAGTTGGCTTAGCTCATTGTGCAGTGGTGTTTCAGGCTGTTCTACGATTTTTGCCATGTCCACACCGAAAACCACCAACATGTGTAAAAATCAAAGCAAACCAACGTTAGGCGGACCACAAAATCGGGGAGCTTTTTGGTGAGGGTTCCCCTTGGTTTGGTGAAGAAGGGAAACCAAATGGTGGGTTTGGCCTAAAACGAATGGCCTCATTGGCCTTTTGGTTTCTTGGGCAGGACAGAATCCCACCCACTTGCGGAAAGAGCGCAGTTCCCGCTTGCACACAGAAACCCCTTCTCCTTAGTTTTCGCGTCACAAGGGTGCCACTCGACTCCCTTCTCAGCTATGACCAAACAATGAACAGAGTAAGCCACAATTTAGAACTGGGTAGATGAAGGTTAGTGGGACAGCGCCCAAGCATAAACGAGTGTGGCCGTCTTTAGGTTCATGAATCCATCTTAATATCAGGGTTTGACTATGACCCCAAGCGGCTGCGAGTCAATTTATAAGGTCCGGAACAGGGTCCGGAACCCATATGCGATCCAGACCTCCGTTCCAGACCTCCGTTCCAGACCTTGCCTAGAAACATGTTCCAGGCCTTCCGTTCCAGACCTTGTTTATGTATATTTATGTCTAGAGTATTGATTCAGGTGGTCGTTCTTTGTCGGGTGTGCAAGTGCACTGGCAAAGACTGAAATGGCGTATCGGTGTTCCGGAACTTTGGTTCGGTTCGGTGCGACACGATTCCGCCGCTATCAGTTCGATACGATACGGTAACGGTTCGATACCGTTCTCGGTCGTCACATTGTTGAAACGACCATGTTTACCTGATGATTGCTAGCATTCCAAAGTGCAAGCCACTCGCGTAACCGTTCCAGACCCCGTTCCAGACCCGTTCCAGACGTGCTCCAGACGCAGCGGAGCAATTTGCCACCAAGTCCACATGCACACACATGCGCCATGTAAGTAGCTGCGCTTCTTACGTGGCCCGCCGCCCAAGAAGCCTTCAAGGACGACATGTGCCAGGGCTTTGGAGACAAAGAAGTCTTTGAAGAGTGCCCTGCATCGGCTTGCGCATCGGTGGACATCGGCTTACGCCTCCCAGCCTTGTGCATGGGCTGGCGCGGGTGGCGGGCCTGACTACAGCGCATCGGTGTCCCAACGACGCGAGGGTGGCAACGATGGCGGGGGAGGTGAGGCCGCGCGCCCCTGGTCGCTTCATCCATCCATCTACCCATCCATCCAGTCCATCTTACACTAAATAAAGGTGTGCTCTTCCCAGAGGTCCGGAACAACCGACCTTGCGTAACTGACTCGTTCCACCGCGGAGCGTTCCACACAAGAATATTGACCCACACCTTCCGCGAACTTCCGCGATGGAGGTAAAACCACACGTTCTGATACGTGTCTGAACATAAGTAAGTTTCCGTAAAGTAAAAGTAAAGCTAGTGCAGAAAGCAAGAAGTAGACTAGGTGGACATCGGCTTACGCCTCCCAGCCTTGTGCATGGGCTGGCGCGGGTGGCGGGCCTGACTACAGCGCATCGGTGTCCCAACGACGCAAGGGTGGCAACGATGGCGGGGGAGGTGAGGCCGCGCGCCCCTGGTCGCTTCATCCATCCATCTACCCATCCATCCATTCATCCATCCATCTATCCATTTTACACTAAATTTTAAATGAACGTGTGCTTGAGGACTCCACGCATGTCTTCCTAGAGGTCCGGAACAACCGACCTTGCGTAACTGACTCGTTCCAGACGTCCGCGTCACTGCAGAACCTTCCACACCAGAATATTGACCCACACCCAAGTGACGATGGGTACAGGGCACTGGCCTCCCCGCCATTTTTGGGGCATCCCTATATGGGTGTGTGATTTTTAGGGTACCCACAAAATGGTGGTTGTTTATATTTGGCTTTTTTGAAAACCACCAAAACAGGGTACCCTCAAACAGGACAAACCCATATGTTTCGTTTTGGGAAATTTTGCTCGTTTTCAGATCGGAATTTTGGAGCGATTCAGCAAGCAGCAAGCGTTCCCACAAAACCAAGTGACTGGAAAGGGATGAGCAGCTTCTTCTGACACGAACAGGCAAAGGATAGGGATGTGACTCTTTCCTGCTTGCAAGCTGGTTGGATTCTGCCGGCTCCATGTGGCTCGAAGTAAGCATCTGGCTGTGTCACACATTTTGATCAGCCGACAATGCTTTTCAGGCATCTAGGCCGATCAGGGCCGTTGGACGTGCTTGCTTTACTTTGCAGGGCTTCATGTTGGTGGAGTCAGCGCACTGGTGGAGCTTCTGGGAGGATCTAAGGCCAACCCCCCTTCGCAGACGCTCGTCCCCGTTCAGATTTTTTTGCATCGCCTTCTCAGAAGAGTCACCGGCATTTCCAAGACCTTCGCACGGATTTTGCCACCCACCCACCCACCCACCCACCCAACCAACCAACCAACCAACCAACCAACCAAACTAGCAACCAACCAACCAACCAACCGACCGACCGACCAACCAACCAACCAACCAACCACCTAACCCAAAAAGAGGTGCGCCTCTCAGAAGGTGACGGATCCTTTGGAGAACCTTAGGAATGGCTGGTCTTACATTTTGGGGTGTCAACAAAAAGACACATCCAGCTGAAAGCACCAACCCCATATTTTTGTTTTAACCAACCAGCAAAAGCCATGTGAAAACCAAGCACCAACCCCAGCGCGGCAAATCCATCTTTGGCGAACCCAGATGGCTATGGGTCAAAAACCCGCACCCCCAGTGAACATCCCAATCCCCACTAAAATAGGTTCTAAAATGGGTGGTGAATTCACCTACCAACCAAAATGGGATCCCATGAGTTTTGACCCACAGCCAGATAAACACGCATCAACCTCTCTCGCAGACCCGGGCTTGGCCGAGCTTCTGCGGCCGCCGTTGCGGCGGCGCGTGGCTGCGCTGGCGGGGCGTTGGGCTGCGTGCCAGGGGGCGATGTTTCGTTGTTTTGCTTCATTATTAAGAAACAGAATCAAGCGATGTATATGCATATATATATATATATGTATGTATGTATACATACACATATATCTAGGGGTTGATTCCCCATTCTTTTCAACCATTGTTCTTTTCAAGAACCATCTGTTTCCCCTGGTCGTTTGATGGTTTTTGAGAAGAAGGATCCTTGAAAAGAATGGGGAAGCTTCCCCTAGAATATCTATGTATGTTACCTTACCATTTTGGCGCTACATCTCGTTAGAGAAGGATACTTATTTCAGTCATTTTGAGGAATACAGTTTTAAGATAGTCTTTTTCAGACGTCATGATATTCCAGGAGAAGTGAGGAGAGGCGTTCTTTGCCAATTCTCGCCAATTTGTTTCTTCTTTCAACAAGTTGCTGAACGCCAGGAGGAATCCTGAAAAGAATGATGGGTGAACAAAATGGTTGCTCAACCCCCAGAACTTTTGTTCAGGAGAGACACCCTCCGCCCCAGTCTGGTACGCAGAATCCCTCTAAGAGCCCTTTGTAAGACAGTTAAACATGCCCTCCTTGGGTTTAAGGCCGTTCCATGATTCCCCCCCTCCCCCCGCCCCGCTTCAAGGTTCCACAACCAGGACAACAGACGCAGTTTAAGTAAGAGCTTTTGGAATCGCAAGCTTCACTGAGCTATGTTTTTTTTCCCGAGGCAACCTGTATTCCAAGGGGTGGGTTCCCTGTGCGTCCATGTACGATAACCGACAAAACTGGTACCCTCATAAAAGACACCCCCGTATCACTGTTCAACGCACCTCGTTCGATTGGAACCGGAACTTGCCAGCATTATCGTCATAGTCGAAACACCCTTGTACTTGGGGTTGGCAGGGATGGTCATCAGTCCCTTGATGGGGGTTTAGACTACCAAGGGAAACGGATTCATATTTGATGGACTCTGAGGATGACCAGTGGGCGGAGTTTACGTTGGCCATGGTCGGTGTCCCGGTTCCCTTCTCGCCCCTGCAAGCTGCCAAGTTTGGGGATGTCAAACGGAATGGAAAGGGGGCAGGATCTTAATGAGCGGATGAACGGATTCTGCACGGGTTCCGATCGCTTGCAACGGACAATCATGTAGCATCCGAAAGGAACCCATTTGTTAGAACCCATTCGACGGGTCACCCGACTATTGGCCGTGACTCCAGGTGGTTCTATAGCTTCAACGATCGGTGCTCCCGGCCTTCAGTTTGTCCCTGACCCGCGCCATTGCTGAATTGAGATTGAGATGGTTCAACCAAAACGGCAATAATCAAAGTTTTATGCGATGGAGATGACCCATGTTGGTATCACAAGATTCATTTTCACCAGCGCAGGTGGCGAACCAGTTCTTCCATCGGCTTTGCCAGCAGGCCCTTCCGGCGGCTTCAGGGGCCTGGGGTTCGTTTTAAAGCGAAGCCAAAAGGAAGCCACCCCTGTTTCGACACGCACCCAATGGGGCCAGGGTGGTTTGTAGTAAGGCCGGCTCCGTGGACTTGCTGAAAGATCGTAGGTTGAACGCGAGCTCAACACGTTGCTCCGGCACAGCAATTACTCCATGCTTGGTGGTTGGGAAGCATCTTGCATTTTTGCTTATTGTGGTTGAGTGGGACATCCAACCACTTAACTGCTAAAATTCAAATTGTTGCTTCCCTTCCAACGTCAACCAAGCATGGTGAAAAAATCAGCTGCAAGTGCGGCGGGACCGGCAGAAAGTCACAGACGGCAGACATTTGATTGGCGTGGCGGCGTGCAGCTTGGAGCTTCTGGAGACCGTCCGCAAAGCAAAAGTCGACGTCAGGAGGGTGCTTGCACATAAATCAGGAAGTCACTGACGTATATACAGGCACTGACATGACATTTGTGTGGTGATGATTCAACTCAATTCGTGAACACGGTGATGGAGCTGTGTATCACCATCGAATCAAACCTCGCCGGTGAATGATTTGCGGCTCGCGTCGCTTTCGGGCGCTGCGTTTGGTTGCCCTCAAGAAAGACGTAGCCGTTTTGTTTTTCTAAAAGCGGGAGCTCCCTTCGTTTCGTGATTCTGGGTGAGGGTCCGCCAAAATGCCTTGAATATCAACCAAAAGGGGCTCGAAGCACGATCCCATTTTGAGAATCAACAAACAGGTTGAGGGCTCTTCCCTTGGGAAGCCGCTTGCTCGCGTCTGAACAATGCTAGCCCAATGGTAGAAAATGGAGGACCAGGAGTGACAACAGCAACTGTTCTTGAAACAACCCAACACACCCGGCCCTGAGTAAAATCTTGACCCGTAGAAAATTGACCTTCCGCTTCCTTTGGTTTCTTTTGCCAGGGGCCCAGTTTCAACCCGGCCAGGATCATTGGGGCAACCCTGTTACTGTTGGTGGACAAATAGAGGATAAACTGCAGGGCGGGGGCAAACTACCCCCTCTATTTTCTCGCAGCCAATCGTGGTGAATGTGCAAGACGCGCAAAGCGAAACGACTTACACTTACGGCACGAAAAGTCCTATTGCAAATTATTCTGCGAATACTAATTCCCTTCACTTCAGGGTTGTTCTTGTCGCCCTTCCAAACAACTGGAAACAAGAAAGAAAGAAGACACAGCTCGCCAGGCACAGCAATTGTTTCGTTTGTTTCAACAAAGGCTTGGCAAGTTCAAAGGGTAGCCCCCTTTCGAGGCCAACACTTCGGTATTATATGAGGGAGACCCTCAATATATTGGCTTGTCATTCTGGTTTTCCTATACAACCAGCTTAAGAAAATGGGAACCCTCAAAAACTCACCCACATGGAGCTAGTCTATTGTCCATTTGGGAGGGCATAGGGTGTCCTAATTTTCCCATGTCCTTTATGCGAACCTCATGTTATGGATTTTGTTGCGACCCCCCTTTCCCCCGAAACCCAAAGGTAGGAGAGTGGAAAAACGGGGTTGTGGGGAAGAAAATGCCGAGAGGTCCCCAAGCTGTTCGTAAGGGGACCTTGTTTTTTCAACCCCGACCTGTTGTTTGACTTGCTTTCCTACCCCAAACCAGGTGGGGGGTCAAAGGAAAAGTCCCCAAATGAACATGTTTCAAAATAGGGGTGCCCCAAACTCTGTGTGTGTGTTTTCCTCTTGGTTCCCGAAGCCACCAAAAAGGGTACCCTCAAAAAACAGAGTTGGGGGATCAACGGGTTCCCCACTTCTGTAATAAAAGGGAATCCCCTCTTTTCAAGGGGGGGTTGGTCTTTTGGGAGGCCCTTTTGGTTGTACCACTAAATTGGTCATTTCCCACAGCCTTCTCAAAAAACCCAACCTCAACTGTCCCCGCAACCCAAGCCACAAGCGGAGCATAGCGGTGCATTCGGCGCGCCAAACAGTTTGCAGGGCAACGACGCCTGGGGCATGAAGAGTCTGGACACAGACTTTCGCGCCATGGTGTCCAGCGTGAAATTCATTTGCCCCTGGGATGTGTTTCCCCCCCCCCCCCCGCCCGACCAACTCGAATCTCCTACCACAGGAAAAGCTAGCATTTTTTGTGGCCCCGCCTATTTTGAGATATACCTTAAAACCAGCAGCAGGAATTTCTAGAGGAAGTTTGCCAAGTACACACTCAAATCAGCGGGTTTGGATGGTTTCCTGTTGGTTTCATGGAAAGTCCCCTCAAGGGATTTTATTGGGAAAGTCCCCTGGGGATTTTGTTGAGCAGGTGACTCTGGGGTGTCTTTGGGCGCCCCTGCCAGAAGATTCCCTTACATTCGCAAGCCCCGAAGCCTTCCACTAGGATTGTGGGGGACTCCCTTTCAGATAACCCGTACCTTGGATGAGCGGCTCAATGGGGGTAGCCCCGGAACAGTCCAACCGGAGGGGTTCGGGGTTCGGGGTTCTCAAAGGAGGAACCTTTGCTCCCGCAAGGCGAGTAGATTTGGGTGTGTCATTTTTTGATTTTATATTTTAGATTTCATTTTTGCAAGGGACGCCAAAAGGACAACCCACCATTTTGGGGGCATCCCCTAAAGAAGGACAACACCCATGTTGAGAACTCTCAAACTTACTTTCCTAAAAGGAACCCGGTAAGGATGCGCTGCATGTACCTGACCCAAGTTTTACTTTTGGGTGGTTGAAGTTCCCTTTAAACAAACCCGGGACCGGGCCCCATCAATCCTTTTCCAAGCCCGTCGCTCAGAAGGCTGCAGCAAATTGGGCCTCTCACTGTAGGTAATGCCTGGGAGGGAATTTCCCATAGGCCTCAGCATGGGCTCAAGGATTTTTGAAGAGGCTATCCTGAAGTGGACCCTCCCCTCAGAACTCAGAAGTCAACCTGTGTGAGTGGTGTCTTTGCATGTTGTCGTTGACACGCTGCCCCGACATCCGCGAGTTGTTTGTGTTGCCAAGCCGGACTGCTGACCACGTATTCTGGAAAGAAAAGACACTCAATGGCCTGCCTTCAGTCACCTTCTTCTTGGGTTGTTCAAAATATGGAAGCAATCCCTAGTGTGTCGTCTGCAAGGCACCAATACCAGGGAAACCTCTACTCAGCTTGCCGCAAGGGACGAAGCACCAGTTTTGATGTTGATCAACCCTAGCAAATGAAGTGGTCCCTGTTTTGAACGGAGCTCGATGCACTCACACTGAAACCGCACCACTTGGCACAAGGGTCTTGAATCTACTCATTAGAATCTAATCTGGGGAGGGATCAGTCCGGACATGGACCCCCCAATCGTGGCCCACCAGTTTCTTGGGGCAGTCTCCGAATGCCAGGGATTCTTGTGAGTACAAGGGGGGTGTCCCACCAAGCCTCCAAACAAACCACCAAGGTAAGACCTCCAAGCAATCCACCCCCAAACCTCCAAACCACCAAGGTAAGACCTCCAAACCTCCAAACCACCCCCAAACCTCCAAACCACCTAGGTAAGACCTCCAAACCTCCAAACCACCGGCTCTGCTTCTCTTTCCTTTCCGCAGGTAAGATCTTGGGGGGCCTGCTGGCGGCCTCCGCCTCCCAGCGCTTGGGCACCTTGCCCGTGCTGCTGGGCGGCGCCTCGGCTCGCGCCTCGCGTCTCGCAGCTCGCTGCTCCATCCGTGGGACCCGTGGGGGGAGGTGTCCGAGGAGAAAACGCAACCCGAGAGCAGCGTCCAAGCCAAGTGGTGGGGGGGGGGGGAGGCAGCGTCCGCGCCGCTGCTGAAATGTGGATTTTGTGGTTTTATGTTCACCAAAGTTGGTGGTAAAATGCTGGAATCTAGCACCATGCATGTTTTTCTTTTGGGGGGGGCTCAATCAAATAAAGGATCACAAATATACGCTCACCAATTAGCCTGGAATTTGACGTTCGGGGGGTCCTGGAAGAGCATGTTTGTTTCAAAAACACAGGGTGGGGGTACCATGAAGCTAAGTTCAGTCATGATCACGGGAACACTGGTGCTTTATCCACAAGCACTCAAATCGGGTTTCATCCATCTCAACTGCGACGCGGATATCAGATTTTGTCCATCCACATGGAGGGTAACCTTCAGTCTGGTTCAAAGGGATGCCAAAAGGACACCCCATGACTTTGGGGGTCCAAACCCCTTGTCACAGGCTACATGACCTGCTCGGTGGGCACCCTTGCCTTTGCCATGGCCAACGAGAAGATGAGTCTGCCGCTTCGGTCGAAATCCTGGGGTAGTGGCCAGGGCTTTGCGTTATTGTGGTCACGTTAGTTGGTCCTACCCTCCCATCCATGGAGGGCACAAAAGGCTGTTGGGGCCAGTTTAGGCATGGCGATTCTCTTTTCGGAGGTCAAAATAGGAAAAACCCTTTCTGGTAGATTGACCTCATTTTGACGTCAATCTACATGTTTTCGGTTCACTAGATGTGGTCCACAATGTCCTCTTCTTTTCTTTTTTTTTTTTGGGGGGGGGGGCAAAGTGTCTTTTGGGCCACCCTTTAGGACCAGTGCCGAACGCTTTGCGAGCTACACTCGCGATGCTATGGCCAGCTTCCCGTAGCATTCAGCTGGCATTGTTCTACTGATCGGTCTGATGCGGATTATTGTAAGGGCTGTAAGGATCTTAATCATGCTGGACCTTCCTGGTATGTGGCGCTACTCAATTGTAACGGGCACCCCGCATTAATAAACCCCTGGTTGATCAATAGGGGGTGCCCTTGTTTTAGTGGAGAGTCATCACTATTGGAGGTGAGCACCCCCCTATTAGTAAACCGGTTTATTAATCCGGGGTCAACATTAGTTGGTTTCATGGGGGGTTACAGTGCCTGTATAAACCATTACAAGCCTGAAGTGACAGGGATTCGGGTTCCAGCTGCTCAGCTGTACATCACAAGGGTTGCAACTGTCTCATACCGCAGGACTGGTCTTGACCAATGGGTCAATCAGCTTGGCCCTCAAAGCGAAAGATCCTTTCTTTCGAGGACAAGCCCCAAACCGGGGCATGCTTCGAATGGGGACTGTGGGTAGCTTTATTGCCAAGTTTAGTCACGATTATAGGGGTCAACTGGTAGTTTTTTTTTTTTTTTATTTTTATTTTTTTTTTTTTTCGTACCCCACTTATTTGTTTTCTTTTTCTTTTTTTAAAGGTCCCCTAGCAATGCTTGGTGTCCTTTCGGTTTGGATACCTCATAGCAAGCCATCGAAGCTCGTCCCTTGAGATCCAGGACGATCCAGGAAGGCAAGACGAACGCACAAACGGCCGACCCACTGGGGGAGTCGTGGGATTTTTTTTGGGAAGTCCCAGTGGTTTCCCAACCAACTTCCAGGAATGTTGACGCCGGAAATGAATCAAACCCTGTTGATTACTATGGGGGGAACACCCCCTATAGCGGTGGTCTGAATCCCCACTAACACCCCCACATTGACATTGACAGAGGTGCGTTTTGCTTGGATGTTAAGACTTGAACTTTTTGCCAACTAACTGGTTTCCGTATTAAACACACTAAGAGTTATTCACTTTTCGCAGGGGAGCAGAAAGCAACCGAGATGACATGGCTTTTTTTTTTCCGAGCTTTACAGTGAATCCTCGGGAATCCTCGCTTTTCCCGTATCCAACCGCAAATTTGGTTTCGGATAATTCTTATCATGGGGATGGTTCATGCTGGGGTCAACCTGAACACCGCCTCGTCTCGAGGTCTGTTGCCTGGGGTGTGGCCAACCTGGGTGAGGAGGCAGCTTGGATCGATCCACGCCCATTGGGCGAGTTCATTTGGCTGTGGTTGTCAAAACCGTTTTGGGATCCGATTTTGGTTGGATTGGGTGAATTCACCACCCATTTCATTGAATCGGATGTTCACTGGGGGCTAACCGGGCTTTTGACCCATGCATGGCCATTTGTCTGCGCCTGCGCCTGCGCCTGTGCCTGTGCCTGTGTGTGTGTGTCTTTGTGTGTGGCTGTGTGTCCGTGTTTTTGTGAGGTGCCTTTTTCATCTTAAAGCTACCAATTGGATTCCACGTTGGCTTCCCTCTGGCTTCCCACTAGCTTTCTGATCAGGTCGTTGGGCTTGCGTGAAGCTGCCCCTTATTTTGAGCCATAATTCATGCAGACATGCATCCCTGGCCATTTTGAGAAGAGAACATTAGACACGTCACTTGTGCAAAAGGAATGGTCCATGCTATTCTGCTATTGGCAAGTGAGCTTTTGGGGCATGGGTGGGATAGCCCACAAAATGAGCAAATTAGCACACGGATGCAATGGGACCAAGAATGAATAACCAACCTGATTGGTGTATATAAGGCTGCGAGGCTGCGACCCATTTTAAAGCGGATCCGGTTGGACTTGAGTGGGAACACCCGCCAACAATCCGGCAAGTTGATAAATGCGGGATCAGCATCTCTATGTGCAAAGGCGATGACATGGGGAGCTTGCACCAAACTATATTAGGAAATGTTGGATTGATTGAGGAAGTGCCTAACCACGCCGCTTATTTTTGAGATTTGTTCCTTATTCCAGACTTTTTCCGGCCATCCACTTGGGAAGTGAGTTGTTTAGCTAGGGGTTTCACGGCTTTGCTGAGAAGGGTTTCCCTTTTTCTACCGGTGGTTGCTGGGAGATCGTTTGGCTACTGGTTTCATGACCTTGGCACAGGGCACCAACCCACCCCTTGGGGCCCAGAGGAAAACATATATCCAAACTAGCAATCCCGCATGTGTGTTTCGCAAGCTGGCCGGCCTCAATAATAACATGAACTTCCCATGAGCTTCAGTTTTTTATTGCACCCATAATTGGCCCCCTATTTAAAAGCCCAACTACCAAGAAGATTCTTTCGCCACCCTCAGCCCCACCAAAAAGCCGATAAACCCTTATTGGGATTTCCGGCCCAGTCCCACCCCGCGAATTTTCGACCTAGCCACCCCCCCACCCCCTCGACATCTCAGCCCTCTCAGCGCGAATTCTCCGAAGCTCAGGTGGCCAACGTGCTGGCGATGACCAGCACGGTCCAGGCCTTCCCGAAGCACCTCAGGGGCCGCGGCGCCCGGGGGCCAAAGTCCGGCCGGAGCGGAGCGGAGTCGGCCGGGCGGAGGCCGGGCGGAGCGAGGGCCGGGTCCCAAAAAGATTCGGGTGAACCCGGACCAAAAATGGGAAAGGGAAAAAACGACGCCTGACAAAAAGGGTGAGAACCCCCGGACGTGTGTGTGTGTGTGTGTGTGTGTGTTTTTGAAAAGAGGCGTTTCGAACTTGCGATCGGTTGGTGAATGAGAGGCAGTCGTGCCGGTTTGAGAAGGGAGGGATTTGGACGCACGCCCAGTACCCACAAAACCAATGTGCGGAACAGATGGGAAGTAACTGGAGCCAAGGTTTGGAAACCAAGCCGGTTGAATATGTAGGGGATCCGTTTGGACTTGGGGGAACACTCCGAACATGAGTCGTCAGGTTGATAAGTCCAGGTCAACATTGCTGTATTCAAAGGCGGTGACATGGTGAACCCTCAACAGAGTGCACTGGAGAGTGGGCGATCACACCCCAAAATTGCGTGTCAGGGAGTGAACATGTGTGTGCATTTGAGGGTACCAGTTTCAGGGTCCCTCTCTTTTGACCCATACCCTATGCAGCTGTGTTCAATTTCAGCTTTGTAAGGTTGAAAAGGACTGGGCTTCTGAAGGTTGGTTCCCCGTTGAAGCTTTTCCGCTAACTTTTAATAGCGATCCACTTTAGTGGTGGAGGGGGACACGTTCACTATGTGGGTGTGGCTGTGGTAAGGGACCCCCCAAAATTGTGGTTCGCCTTTTGGTTTCCCCTTAAAACTGACCAACCACCCAACCAACCAACCAAGCAAGCAACCAAG